TATAAATTTTGCCATGGAACAAAGAATAACAGTACTATTAGAAGCATTTTAAAAAAAGCAAAAAACATGGCTTTTAAAACATAGGCCCCAAGTTTGGTAGTTACCGTATTTCTCGGACTAAAGTACCAGTGGTATTTTTTGTACCATGGAGTACGAGGCAAACTCGATAAGGCGAAGGTCGGGGGTGGATACAATTTATTCGGCTTATCGAGATTTTCGTTTAGTAAATTTCGCATTAAGCCGAATTTATATATAGATTTACACAAATTTTCGGCTTACAATTCAGCAGTATAAATCTTATTAATTAATTTTAAAACGAAAGAATACTCGATTGCTGTAACGTATTCTGACTTTAACTTTCTTAAGTGAGATAAGAAAGTAATATCAACGTCGAGTTTGTTGTCACAATCTTGACTAATATATAAAAGACGTGCTCGAAAGCTGATTTACGAGAAATAAATTTGGTTTATTTTTTGGATTACTTCTTATGGACACAATGTTTGAAAACCACTTGTTGAACTTTCTCCACGTTGTTTATTTTGAAGGATTAAAGTTATTTGTAGCAAGACACCTACGTGTTTAAACGAAAATACTTTTCCACAAAGGATACGTGACGCGCTAATCCGTAATGGCTAAAATTTGTAACTGGAAAAGACAAAAATTGGTAAACAAAACTGTCGGATGTTTAGATAAACAATCGAGCGACCGTTTGTGACATTACAATGTCAAAAAACGAACCAATCAATGCATATCCACGCGACAACTTCGGCATATCGAGATTAAATCATTATTGTCAATTGTTGGAAAACCTTCGGCTACGCTATAATAAAAATTTGGTAAACCAGAAAAACTTCGGCTTTATGCAATCGTGACTTCGTCTTAACGAGTTTGCCTTGTAACGTTGCTACTGCTGAGAAGAATTTTCTCGAAAATTATGCTACTGTAAAATTCATGGACTACCGAGTCCTGGTAGAAATGTCAATTGCATTACTCAATCGCTTCAATTTTGCCAGCTGAAACGAGTTACAAATTAGTCTATTATAATTTTATTGCAAATCTCGAAAACGCTAGCACATTGAAATAGTTAAATATTATGCGTTTTCGCAAGTTATGGCACCAATTAACGCCGTATATTCAAATTATGGTTCCAAGAACGAACAAACAAGCAAGGAATTGATACAAGAACTGGGCTTGCTGGGAAAGAAGTCAGCTTTTGTTTTTCTGATAGCATTTACGTGATCTGGTCTTAACAGTGTTATATAGCACGAACGGGCAACAGATATTATTCAGTTTACTTTGGAGCTTGACAATTGATGACTCGTGCTTCAAATGGGAGTCCCCACATGATTGTGGATATGGCGGTGGGATGGCAAATTTAGCATCCAATAAGAGATCGATCTCTACCGTCCTGCACTGGAAGCCATGGGAGATATGTGTGTGTGTATGTTCAATCTAAAAAATAGGCAAATTTCCTTCTGATCAGCGTATACTCATCATACTGGCGATGTCTGTAGAGTAAGTAATGTTCATTTTAATGTTTGTGATCAGAGTAATGTTATGATTTTGCTTGATACATTATTAATTTAGTAAAAAAAAACAAACTTCTCCCCAGCTTAGTGATAATAAATAAATAAACTAAACTTCAAAAGGTAACATCTCTACAAATTGGGAGATTAATATTTCTATTCGGTTTTCTCTTTATGAATTAGTGATTTGAAATAGTTTGCAAATGGTAGTTCAACATATCTTGTTAATCTGAAGAGAAATATCGCGCCAACGACATGTAACGAGGTTTTAGATACATATGTGTTAAAGAATAAAAACCACATGAAACATATAACAGTTAAAATAAGAAGTAGAAAGTCCACGTTGTATTTCGCGAATGTTACAATGCCGCCCTACAATATCGGGGAGGAATTTGGAGTTTAAAATATAATCAGATGAAAAGATACAAAACTTCCCCTTTTCAACTATAATTCAATCAAGGATGAAATTTTACCGTTTTGTCCGCCGTAAAGGTCAGACTATCTATGTCTTCACTCTTTTCGCTCTCCATCAGCTCCTTGATTTTCTGTACAATATCTTCCTGCGCCGAATGCCATTCGTATGTCTCGTTGTTAACGTTGTAAGTCATTGTATATGGATAGTTGAATGTGTTGATGTATCGTAGCCATTCTTCAATAAACGAAGATAGCTTCTCGTAACGTATTCTAACACATTCTAATAATAATTTTCGATAAAGTTAATAGTAAGTCAGATAACGTCTTTTATGTTTTATTTTAAAAAAAGCTTTTTCAATAAATAAGATGGCCATGCCCAACCAGTATTAAATGAGCAACAAAGGAAGCAATACGAGAAAGACATTATTTAGAACTGTACGAACAAGAAAGTGTGGTATAGGAAGTATACCGTCCAATTACAGGGCAACAAAATTTTTTTTGAAAAATTACAAAGTTGGGCGCCTCCAGAGAGCTTTCTCTCCACGCTTTTTATCCATTTACAGCCTCCAATAATGATAACGGTTTAATTACAATGTTTTTTTTTTCTTCTGAAAGAAGAAAGATTATTACGTTGTCGCATCGCAAACAAGCCGTTTTTAAAGTGATATTTCTATTTATTGTATAACGTACCACAACTGTTAATGACGTTGCATATCAATAACACGTTGTCATCACCGAGTTATTGACTCATCGTCACTGTTACTCCAACGATCTACTTTTGTTGAAAAATATTCCGAGACGGGGGATGGGTGATGGCTTATTGGATTTGGGTTATATCGGTTGCGCTTTTCTATAAACAGATTCGGAAAAATTGTTTACACAAAAAAAAGGAAAGGGAAAGGAAAGGGAGTTCCTATAAATGGATGCGTTGATTCTTGCATTCCTTGTAGTTTCGTTTCTCTTTCTTTCATTCCTTTCTTCCTATACTCGTTCTCTACTTGTTCCCTTTTTTTTTTCTTTACATAGATTTCTTTTCCCTCGGAAATGGTTAGAATAGGATTCTGGCTTTTTTTTTCTTGCTGGATCGAGTCGGGTATGATTGGATTAATTCGATTCAGTTTTTTACTACATGTTATGCTTTTATCACTCTCACGATACAGACAATTCTAATTCATCTTTTTGATTACACAAGAAAAAAATATAGACGCACTGATTCTCTTTTTCTTTCTCATCATCTAAAACCTACAAAGAAAAAAAAAGAATACCAGTGAATTTTAGACTTTTTTCCCCCCCTCTTCCTTTTTTTTCTTTTGCTTTTATCTTTTTACCTTTTCGTTTTTCTTAAACTTATGCGAATTTACATACTTGTCGCGCGCGTCAGATTACGAAAGTGTTTGCTTAATCTCGACTCTTTCTTTTTCTTGTAAAATACTTGCGTGTTCCTTTTCTCCAATCTATACTCTTTTGTCACTCTCTGTGATGCTCTCTCTACCTTGATCTGGTTTCATAGTATTTCCTCTTATTTCATAAATGTACATAATTCTTGGATTCAGAATATTGTCTGATACATAATAAACTCGAGAAAACGTGAAATTGAAACAAAACCAACAACAAACAAACAAAAACCACCACCAACAACCGAACAAACAAGCAAGGAATTGATACAAGAACTGGGCTTGCTGGGAAAGAAGTCAGCTTTTGTTTTTCTGATAGCAT